TGAGTTTACGGATTAATAAACCTTAAAACTAGCTGAAATCTGCCCGCTTCCTGCCCTGAAGCGCAGAGCGTGGTGCCATAGGGAGAGCTGCTCAGAGAAATGTTTGCCATTCATTTCTCTTCATGAGCTCCCTTCCTAAGCTCTCAGCCTGGCTGAAGGCACAGCTAATGGGAACAGCAGGCCCTGCCTTACGCCAAGTCATCCTCCCTCGCTGTGCTGCCTGACATGACCCGGGCACTCCCGCTACCCAGCAAAGCTAGGTAAACTGTGATGCCATCGGAGTCACCGCTTGCTTATGGCTGCCGTAGCTCAATTACAATAAGCTCAGGCCAGTTTGGAGAAATAAACTTTTTCTAAGCCCGTATTACAGACTGCCTGAGTACATTTTCGTTTTGCTAGTTCCTGCAGTCACGCAGTAGCCAACCCTACCGTTTCATTAAGGGTTACGTTAATTAAAGAAAAATCAAGAGCTGGCAACGATGAAGAGGTACGGCGGCAGCCCCAGTTCCCCCACGGAGCGCTGCCCGGACTCTGGGTGAGGTGGAGCAGCTCCACCAACCAAGCTGCGGGCCACTTTCTCCAACTGCACGCTCAGAGCTTGCTCTGCTGAGGTCATCAACAGGCACAGGAACGTTATGGACACGTGTCCACAGAGACACCGCCTGCCAACTCGGAAAAAAACGGTGCTTTCGAGAGGTCAGCTGCTGGGCAGTAGTGATTTTCAGCGTCTCGAACGAGATTTAATAAGCCCCCATTATCAAACAACAGTGGGGATTTTTCTTCATCCAGGCTGAGAGGCCTAATCAGCTTCCGCGTAACTGAAGAAAAACATTATGCTCCCCATGAAAACAGCCCCACAGTCTCCGTACGAAGCGGCTGCAAAGATGGGCGCAGACAAGGAGCTGACTCACAGAGCGGCACAATACCTCGGCTCCTGCTCGGAGGTTTGCAGAGCGAGGGGGAGAGCGGAGCCGGCACGACTGTCGGCCTCGCAGCTGCTATTCATAGTGCCACCGGCAGCTGCGGAGCCAAGAAGAATCGTGTCCTTTCAGACATCTGCCGCTCCTTCCCAGGAAGTTCTGAGCAACTGCGAGGAGAAGCGCTGCTGGTGGGGGAAGGCACTCGGGGTGCTACGGAAGGAAGCGCGCCCGCAGGCACAGAGCAGCCCCTGTCGCTGCCACAGCTCCCGGCAAACAAAGTGCAAGTTGAAGGGGCTTCTCTGAAAATAAAGCAGGCCACGAGCAACGTGCAGAAGACGGGGTAGAGCTGAGAACAACGCCACACGTAACTCGCTCCTGTTAGCTGCTAGCAGCTCCCGAGACCGAGTGCACGTGAAGACCAGAAAGGCCCCTACACCTGTGCGTGGCAACGCACTGGAAGCTGTAGGCCCTTGATTTGCCTCGCAGGCCTCCGTAAAAGTTCACTGCAGTTACAGGCTTGAAATCTGTAGCCCAGCACCTGTCGCTGTGACTTTTCAATAGTTCTGACTACATCCCAATTCCTGAGGTCTACCACTAGAGCTCTTCCTACAACATACATTACTTGGAAACTCTCAGTGCGAGGAACGTGGATTAAGATACGTAGCATAGAGAAATACAGAACATAGGAGAGCTGGTCTTTACCTTCCATCAAAGAAGAAGAACTTGCCACGGCCATTCTTTTCTCCGTGAACAAAGTTTCCCTCAAACCTATCCGTGGACGAATACGTGACCGTACAGAATCCATGTGGCAACCCATCGTCGTCTAGATGTCCTGAAAGAAAATGCACATAACAAACACCAACAAAACACATTAAACGGGATATCGGTTTGCACAACCGCCCCGATTAGGCAGATGCCCGAGTTGCAGCAGCTCTCCATATTTAACTTTAACTCTCACCAAAACATTTACGTTAAGAAAAGTTTTCAGAGATTCAGTATAACTAAGGCTGCTGTCGTGCAACGAGCTACACCTAAAGGTAAAAGTAAAAAGGGGCAGGATACCAGGAGAGGGATGGAAGACGTGAGAGATAGCAGAAGAATAAGCAAAAACATAGAAACCTATCTGAAATAAAATCATAGAATGGCCTGGGTTGAAAAGGACCAAATGATCATCCGGTTTCAACCCCCTGCTGTGTGCAGGGTCGCCGACCATCAGACCAGGCTGCCCAGAGCCACATCCAGCCAGGCCTTCATTGCCTCCGGGAATGGGGCATCCTTAACCTCCTCGGGCGACCTGTTCCAGTGCGTCACCACCCACCGTGAGAAAAACTTCCTCCTAATATCTGACCTAAACCTCTCCTGTCTCATTTTAAAACCAATCCCCCGTGTCCTATCGCTATCCACCCTTGTAAACATCCTTTCCTCCTCCTGCGTAAATGCTCCCTTCAAGGATTGGAAGGCCACAACGAGCTCTCCCCGGAGCCAAATAAACACGTTCCATATCACTCTAGCTTCTCTTAACACACAGCTTTAAAAATACAGTAACTTCTCAAATCTAAACCATGCTCTTCCTGGTGAGAAAGACCACATTTACACTTCACTCCATTGAGTAAGATGGGGGTTTTGGGATAAATATAAGCCTTACAACAATGTGGGCGTGCCACCTCATAGCTATATCCACATAAGCACACAAAAATAAAAGCACGTAATATCGGCAACACCGCGTGCACGCAGGATGCCTGTCGGTCAGCCACGCTGTACCTCAAGCGCTGTTTGCCTGGCCTTTGCGACGTGCGAAGCCTCTCCCGGCCGTATCAGCTTTCCCCATCGCAGCTGGCCCACACGGGGACGGCAGATGGGGGACACACAGATCCCCGCTGCGGCTCTGTTTCAGACCGAATGCAACCGGCAGCTCCGATTAACTTAGAGCGTAATGGAGCTCATGTTGCAGCTCTCGCTGCTTCTTCGGAGCCAGAGGGAAACCGACAGCTGCTCCCGGTGTACCTGGAGCCCATAGCACTGTGCTGGGGGCACAAAGCTGCTGGAGAGCAGCGCGGTGAGGATGCCAGGAGCCCTCCCGCATGTGCACGCACACGACCTTCACCAGCTTGAAGTAACTAAGAGAACGTTCCTCACAGTAACTGAGTTATGCTCTGTCGGTTTATTAACCATCTCTTACGTGTGGTACAACCGAGTATGGAAACGCACCCAGGAAGGTGCACAGGAGGAAATGATGAGATATCCCATCTTGTTTACAAAGCATATCAAAGCCATCAGACACCGCTCAGCGTGAGAGCTTGGAGAAGTAACAGAGCAAGGGATCAGAAGTACAGAACCACGCTGTGTCCCCGAGGGCTTCCCCTAATGGTGCAGAGGAGCCCTTACTGCCGCCGTGGGCAGGAAGAGCCCGGGCCCCTCCCGGCACCGGGACAGCCGCGCTCCAGAGCGGGACGGGCTGAGCGCTTATGCCCGTGTCGTTATCGCAGCGCTGATAACTCCGATGCGGACATTTCTTTCACAGGGAAAACCGCCACGCGCACACGTAAGGTTTCAATAAAGGGCCCGAACTCCTAACTTAGCAGTATGAGAAGGTACGCCGGTGTAAGCTCACAAACCCTGCGCTGCACACCACAAGTTCTTCCCTTGACGCAGGAGCGAGGCTTTTATAAAGCGCTCGGATTACGTCTAAACCAAAACTAGCGGCACACGGTGCTTCTGAAAAGCAACCCCAACCACCTTCTGACCTCACTCGTGGGGCTGCTCAGCCCCGTTAAGGAGCCCCGGGTTGCGGAGCCCAGCGCAGGGGCTCCGCGCGCACGGCAAGGCTCGGGACAGCCCGAGCTGCACGTGCAGTGTCTTGTGAGGGCCCCTCCGGGGGTTCTGAGTCTCAGCCACAGCATAAACGACTCGGCCCTTCTAATAGGCACAGAACATGAAGAAAGAATTAAAGCCATCTTCAGCAAATAAGAGATGTTCGGCGCCTCTCAGTCAACAGGAAAAAAAGAAAACAAGCAATCCGAAGCTTAATGACACGGAGGCAGCTTTGCTACAGAGCCGAGGCCTGCTGCTGAGCTCTGCTCCAATGAATGGAAGCTCCCCCAGCGCTCCAGCGGGAGCACAACGCCGCTCCCTTTCCTTGCCACCCTCCCCTGTCGTGACAACAAAATCCAGTCTTCCGAACACGCGTCTAAGTTCCGGATCTGCCGCTCCCGTTACTCCTCCCAGGCTACCCGGCGTTTAAGGACAGGAACGACTGCCCCCTTCGCCGCCACCCCCAGACCCGAGGTGCGAGCAGCCCTCCCCCCGACACGGCGGCCCAGCACAGCCGTCCCCACGCCCGGAGGAGCGCGGCCCTCCGGCGGCCGCAGCCCCCCTGCCGGCCCCGCGCCATGTGCTCGGCGCCGTTGCATAAGCCCGCTGATGTCATGCGGGGCCGCCCGCAGCCCCGAGCCTCCGCCCGCAGCCCGGGGGACCGAGCGGCGGGGGCCGGGCCCATCCCGCCCCCCCCATACCGAGCGGCGAGGCCCCCCCCCACCCCGCCCCGGGCTGACACCTTCCACGGTCTCTTCCAGCGTCTCCTCGTCGCTGTCCATGGCGGCGGCGGCGGCGGCGACGGGCGGGGCGCAACCGCGACACCGCGGCCGGGAGCGCGCGCGCCGCCCCGCCTGTCCCCGCCCCGACGAGGGCGTGGCCTCGAGGAGGGAGCGTGGCCTGGGCGGAGGGGGCGTGGCCGCGGTAGCGACTGCGGTGCTCCTGCAGACGAGTGTAGTGTGGACCGGGCTGCTCAAAGCCCGAGCCCCATTGCACCCACCTCACCACGCGCTCGCCAGGAGCTTTGGATGGGCTCTTCCCGTCCCCGCTCCTAATGCTTCCCTTCTGCGTTCTGGGGAGGGGATCCGTGAAGCCGAGAAAAACCAGAAGTTGGGCACTGCTGCAGAGTTGAACGGTGTTTTTCTCAGGTGCTCATCAGCACGGACAGAATTCCCCCTGCAACAGAAGGCTCTGCTGTGGCCAAGCGACACTCTTGAGACAACTTACGGTTCCTGGCACGAACACTATGTCCTCTAGCTCAAGTTCTATCCTGATCTAATGCTGGAAGGAGATTCTGCACCTGCCAGAACGCAGTACCCAAAACGCAGCACGCTATCAGCAACAACAGCAAAGCTACGCTTAGTTCCCTTGTTTAGACTGGGAATCTTGCGCTCTTTGACGGGCTGCAAGAACTTAGGCCAGATGGAAGCAAAGTAAGGACTGAGGCAAACGGAACCGCAGGATGAAGCTGCACTGCGGAAATCTGGTGGAGAATTCGCTCCCAAGGAGAGGGAAGGGATATGACTTTCTGTCACAACAGTGCCAGCTCTGTCACTAAACTCCTCTATGCACTTACGCACCTGAGTCGCTGCACAGCAAATTGTCCCGTGCCTCGGCTGCTGAGAGATGCAAACTTTAAGGCGATGGGGAAGCACACGCACCTGAAATTTTGGTGAGGAGCTCATTCAAATCCACTTTTCTCGTTGGCCAAATCATTAGTGGCGGGCTCCACATAGTGGATTCTCATGTAATTCCACTGAGTAGGGTTTGGCATTTGGTACTTTCCCCACAGTGTGGTTTCCCAGAGAGGGGCCATTTGCAAGCCTGAACAGTCTAACGGTCTAACAGTCCTTGCAGGAGAGCAGTGAAATCCAGCTGGAGTCCTTCTGGAGGCCAACAGCAGCCCTGTTTTTGGCTGGGGAGACTGGGGATGGGGAAGTGGCGGTTCGCATCTGTGAGCGTGCTACTGGGTGTCTGCAGAGATAGGGGCAAGGCATCAGTGGAGGAGTCTGGTTCTTCGTGAACGCAAGAACGTTCTGTGATTAAATTTGTACATATTGTACCTACAAAGCTATCGTCAATATGGATGTACTCAACTGAAAGTGAAGGTGAATCTGCAGCACTGACCGAGGGCTATCGAAGCCACGACGAGTGGCTGAAAGTGCTTCATTTCAGAGAGGGCTGTGGGGAACAGGGGCATTACTGTAAGGAGCTTGTTGGATGCGTGCTGGGTGCGGCCGTATCGCTTAGCGCTGCTCCCTCCAGCCATGGCAGCGGGCTGCTCAGAGGCTGTGATTTCAGTTAGGTAAGTTGCTGTGTCAGGCCGGGAGGAGGCCGAGCGGAGGCACACAGACGATGCTGCGCTTGTGTGCCGAACAAAGCACGACTCTAACCAGAAACTTTCTGGCACCGGTTTACAAGAAGACGGGTTCCCATCTGCTTCCAATTTGGGGATGTTCTCTCTGCGGGATGCGCAGTGATAACCTGTAGCTTCCCACTGCAACATGACTCACGGTACCAGTCATCAGTTCTGGGAACCATATGTGCTTCTGGGAGCAGCCACTGAGAACTGGGGACTGTGCTGCTCCTCTGAAGGTGTTGTCAGATGTGACTACAAATAAAGAGCCTTCTGCTTCCAGCCCCGACAAACTCCGCCCTTGGATTCCCAGCTGGCTTTTTCAGCTGTTCTGTGCAAGCACTGTCTTGCAGATCGTTGGGTAGGCTCCTCCTTGGCCTGTCTCTGCACGGATCAGCTGTAAAAAGAAACCAGGCACTGCACAGATGTTTAAGGGAAGTAAAGGAGAAAGAAAAAGACTCCTCCTTCTTGAGGGTGCATGTAATCTACAGAGAGAAACCTATTAAGCCCTGAAAAGATTGCATGGGGCGAGACAGAATATTGTCTGACCGCATCACGCCAACAGACTCGCAAGCAGCAGTTCTTCTCTCAAGACCCCACCGATGGTTTGGTTCACGCAGCGAAGCCCCACTGCTCCAGGCACAGCGCGTGCACGGGCCAGGTGGGACCTCCCACCCTGCAGTGTGAACAATCACAGCTGCCGGCGGGCAAGGCAGCGAGTGGCAGAAAAGCAACATGATGTCACACAGGGGAACACGACGTGGTTCACATATACGTGTGCACATGTGTATCCTGATCTTCTAAGCCCTTCTCTCTGCCACAGTGATTTCTGATAAGTCATTCTGCCTCGGCTGAGAAACAGACGGGGATGCTGAGCGCTTGCAGTTGCTTGTGACAGAATTAGCATGCCGTGAGCAACGAGCACGCACGTGAAACATCCTGAGCATCTATTCCTGCAGCAAGTCACATTTGGACAACCCCGCCTTTCAAAGTCAGCTACTGATAAGAACTGTGTACTCAGCTGCAACACTACTTAGTTCTTTCTATGTTCGACGGAACACAGGTGTGTCATCTTCAGCTTTCCAGCGCAATGTATGCCCCTCCATTTTCAGTGACGTTCCACAGCTTCCCAGGACCACGCTTGCTAGAACCTAGTTGGGCTTGTTCGGTCACCAGCTGTATAATGAAAGAACATTAGGATGTTATAATCATAAAATAAACAAGAGAGTTAGGCAAAGCAGACTATGATAACACAAAAGAATAAATAGAAGACTTATCCCTATCCTGGGCTCACTCACAAAACACCAGCAGAGCAGATCTCCAGAAAAGATCCTTCCCCACTGGTAGCCAGCTCTTAAATAGGTCCAGGAGGGGTGCAGCCAGGCTCCACCCCTTCCGGCAGCACAGCTGAATTGCCTTCACCTGTGCTCCTCTGGCTGACTCAGTGCTCGCCTCAGGTGATCAATCAGAGGTTCAGGCCCTGGCTCAGCAGTTCCCGTACACCAGCAACCCCGTCACAAGGAATACCACACTGTGAGAACTTCAGCTCTCCGTGTTTACCTGGAATACAGCATGCCTGCCTCAACAGCACACAACTCATTTGGCACCGTGTGTCGGTGGGAATCAGCGTGGCCTCCTACTGCTCGTGCTCAGGGAAGGTCTTTGAGCAACCTCTCAAAACAACTGATCTTGGGCAGGTTTTTTCCTCAGCGCTTTCCCCCTTACTAATACGCAAAACTTCTTTTGCGCTCCTCAGGGCTGTTCTGACATCGTGCTGATCCGCAGCTGACCTCACATCAGCCGTGCCCTGCAACAGCAGAAAATTAAAGCTACTGCTGTAGAACAGCTGCACACGCTACTTTCTTTCAGTGCTCAGAGCGCTTGCTACTCTGTTTTTAATAGCAAGGTTTCGATTGCTGTTGCAATATGACTGCGTGCTGCCAAGGTAGTAGTGAATGACCTTTAATGCGCCTATCTAGCGCTGACCTGTTTGCTCTGGAAGGCATGCAAGTCTGTCTGTCAGGCCATCAGAATAAGCACTCTGCTCAGAGGGCCCATAACTTGTTAACAAAGACATCCACCTGCACGCACGGTGCTCCAAATAACTCAAATCAGGGGTTAATTCTCCATTAAAAATGTAGGTGCTGAATCTTCCTTCTCCTTCTGAAATGCAAGGCTGGCAATGCCTCCAGGCCTAGGGGCGGACAAAACGCTCCTTTGATGCAGGATCTATTCTTGGCCGCGTGACAGACCCTCAGGGAGCTGCTGCAAGTCATTTCAGGCTATGCTTTCCATAACACTTTGCCCTGGCTCAGGTCTGCTTACTGTCACTGACTTCTGCTTCTGCAGGAGGAAACCACTTCTAGATTCTTCCGAAACCAGAGACTTCACCCTCCTGGAGCCCTAAAGCCAGGGAGCTTAGCGCAGACTGTCAACTGCCTCTGTCTCCTGCCTCTGTGTATCCACTGCATAAGTGCTGTAGATGTGAAAATGAGGGATCCTGTCCACGAAATCTGGTGTGGTGGGTGCCATCAGAACAGACACTGCACAAATGTGGGAGAGCGACAAACCTCAGCTGTGCAGAAGGGACAAAATCAATGCACCCTCGCTTGCTCCAGCTGTCCTCGGAGCCTTTCCCATCGAGCCTGCAGATGTCACGCACAGCGCTCGGTGCCTCTGCAAGCAGCTGCAGATGGCTTCAGAGCTGCATGCCGACGTAGCTTAGCCAGTTACACCTGGGCCTGCATCCCCTCCGCGCTCAAGGCTCGGCCAGCAGCTCCAGTTGCACACAACCTTCATCACTGGTGAATCACTGAGCTTGTAAGCAGTCAGCCTGTGGCAGCACCCCGTTGGAGCAAGTTCTTGGAGCACCTTGTTCTCAAAGCAGGTGCTATTTCTAGGCCTTTTTTGGAAGAACAGAGATTGCAAATCGTAAGAAAAACGATGCAAAAATACACACGGAAGCTCACTAGGCTCACAAAATTGAGAAATTTTTCAGGATTTTTGCATTTTCGATTAAAATGGCGTTTGCCCATGAGTCAGCGTGTATCTCAGTGTTATTCACACGGGTTCGTGGCTCAGCTATCGTATTTTGCCATTTCTATCGAGTCTCCTTTTGAAAACTGTCGACAGCTTGTCGTGCAGAGTGACTCCCAAATGCCAAGGAACATCAATCTTCTTGCCTATCCATGTCCTGGCTTCCTGGCTGTTCTGTGCCATGCCCTGGCAGGTGACAGGCCGAAGTTGCACACCTGCCTATACAAGCGGTTACGTTTCTGTCAGCAATCGGTTTTCCTAACGGTGATCGGCGGCCGCTGCTTTTCCATCGCTCGAGATTGGGCATGGAAGGTGACACGAGGCATTTCTGCACCCATCACACACACACACGAGCGTAATTCTCTGCCATAAGGATCAGGACTAACGTATTTAAAGGATAAATCTAATAAGCTTTGGAGATTTGCTGTGTTATGGCGTCTCTGGAACATGCTTATTTTTACACTGCTGGGAAGTGCTGTAGCAATTACAGAGAGAGGCTGGTAAGCAAACGAGTGAACACAGACTTCTGTTCATGTTAAATTGTAATATTTGTCTAAAATATTTAACAGGAACAAAGCAAAATCGGTATTTTGCAACTGGACTCAATAACAGCAACGGCATCTAATTAGTTCCCGTCACCAGAGGGCATTGGAGGACAAGCTGATTTTCAGAAAGCAGAGGTTCTATTCCTGCAGTTCAACCAGTGAATGTTAACAAAGCGAGCGGAGCTGAGGCTGCGCTCTCGCCGGTAACAAACCCGCAACCCTGGCACGAGCAGTGAGACGAGGCCTTGGGTTGGCCCCGAGCAGAGCTGCGGGCTAGGGGCCGTCTCCTTCTTGGCTCCTCCACAGGTATGCACACATCTGGGGGTAAATTCAGCTCTAATTAGGAATGTGACTCAGCGGTGCTTCAGCTCAGCGTGCAGCCGAGTTACAAGTGCAGGAGATGGCTCTCCGGGTACTGAACCCTCACCGACAAAGAAATGCCGACACGTGGCGATCTGCAACTTGGGTCCCCGCACGCAGCGCAGGGGGCTATTTCAGGAGACGGAAGGAAGGGAGGTGTGGAAAAGGCTGTGTGAGGCAAACCTGAGCGACCAGCCCATGGGTCTCCTACACAGGCCGGCTATGAGTCCCTTCTAGGCTCATGCAGTTCCCTTATGCTTCCTAATCTGATTCGGGAAATTCATTTCTATGCTAAACACAGGCTCAGAGATTTACAGCAGGAGAGGATTTTCTTAGACTGCCTCACTTGACTGAAGGGTACCTCTTCAGATTGGCAAGGGAATAAAACCCATCTGAGCCTGGAAACGGCATGAAGAAGTATTCACCTTGGTGCCAAAACGGCAAACACATTTCAGTTCCCAGAAAGAGATACTGCCAATTAAAATCAAACACTGAGGCTTTCTCTGCACTATGAACGCTGTGCTTTGAAATGAGAGGGCGCAGACCGAGTGGCTCTGTTCTTCTGCACCACAAAATAGCAATACTCGTTTATTAGCCGTGCTCGTTAATAAACTGTGATGGTGGCGAGTTTGTGTTCCTTAAAGACGGCGCTTCAAGCTACGGTCCCTACAGCTTGCAACGAAGGGGTTCTGACAAGAGATAATGACTTGAGTTGACACCAAGGTGTGTCAAAACAAAGCGCATCCCATTCTCTCTCCTGTGCAAATTGCCTTATTCTTCTCACAGCTTAGAAGCTGGAACGGTACGATATCTGAAGATAACTACATCCTTATGTTTTTAGCTTACAAGCCATAGAGCAGACTGCAACTGCACAAAGCAGGGATCAAACAAAGCCACACACTCAAAGAGAGACCTGTTTTTCGCACTGATCTGAGCACTCTCACTAGTGTGTTTTTGTCCAGAGAAAAATTAATTCGAGAAAGATCAACTTTTAATATTATTAGAGACTTGACTTTTGCGTTTTAAACCTTCCAAGGAGATGTAGCATTGCAATTTGAAAATATAAAAATGCTTAGGATGTTCACCTTTCCTCCATTTAAAAAGTTAACTTCCCTCAGCTCCCCTTGGAAGAAAAGTGATGCTGAAAGCGCTAGGCAAAAGCAGAACCAATTTCTGAAAGCAATACTAAACTAACAGTTGCCAAAAATGAAATCCTGACTGACAAACGGAGAACAATACGGACCCCAGGAAAAGAAGAAGGAATGAATTTCCAAAGTCACCTCGAGTGCTTTTGTTTGCTTTCAAACTAGCATAAATCATGAGTGACACCGGGACAATTCAACTCAAAGTATATTCCACGGTCATGCTGTGCTTACTCCGACCTGTGAGTATTTTTTAAGAGAACACTGCTTTCATAACCATGTCCACGCATGGTAATGCACACGCACCTCTGACCAACAGGAAACTTAAGCACGTGATGATTAACATAGTGGAAATGTTACTGCTCAACCTGCAACTCCAAACTGTGGCACACAGAGCAGTACATTCAGTGGTAGGGGAATGCCTATTTATTTTTCCCGGCGCTTTTTCTTCTAGATAACTGAGCAAGGCTCCCTAGAGGAGCAGCACCAGTCAGAGAAGACGGACCTAAACTCGATACCCGGTCCTCCTCTGAGGTGGTGTTGCCTTTCCACAGCTTCACCAAAGGCCCTGCAGCCTCTCTTCTCTTTGCTCCGTTCTCATCTTGGGATGCAGGAGAGGGAAAAAAACAGCCTTGCAGAGCAGGTGCTGCAATTCCAGTACTTTCCCCGCAATTGGCATGGAAACCCTCTGTGCACTTACCCCCTTTCTAGGGATGCTTCCATAATTCGTGGAAGCAGAAAACCAGCCTCGTGTGATGGATCAGAAATAGCAGCTAATGCACTTGTGCGCAGCTCCCACTGGTCCTCATCGGAAATACCATTTTCTTCTGGCAAGTGGGACCGACAGGACTGTAGCGGGAGAACATTGTCAGACAGGCTAAGTGCTACAGGCTACATGTCTGTCTGGTGACACATCTTGAGATTGGAACTAAATTTGGGATTAACAGAGACTTTAATTTCTTTCTTGCTAGGTCCTTCCTGTAAAACACACTGACAAGTAAAGCTTTGTCACCCTGAAGCTGTCGAGGTGCCAGCCTCGGGGGCGAGGACCTCACTGTGAAAAGAACCAGTAAGCAAAGGAGAGCAAGGACAA